CGCCGGCCTCCGCTCACTCTAGCCCGCCGTGTGTTTCGATGTGAAAGGTTGTGGAAGCTAAACTACTTTGTTTGGTCTTCCAAAAATGGACACGACTAGAAATCAGTGGTTAAGTTGTGGGGTTCCCAAACTTTTCAGCCCACGTCCCCCAAAATAACGGTGCCAGTGACTCGCGACCCCCACTATCCTCGGAGGTGGTTAAAATATACAAACGTTGCGCGCAATGACGCACATGCACCAATTGGCCTATCCAAACATGAGCATAATGACAACACAAAAGAACACAACGGTCTAACAACCATATAATGTTTTATAGTAATTTACTCATTCGTTTAATTTCAACATTAACCTCACCTAATGAGATGGGTGGACACAATGCTTGGAGCACAGGAAGTCCATTCTTAATTTAATTTTGGAGACTGCCACTCGGAGATCATCCTCCACATTCAGTCGCGACTTATTTATTTATTTTTAATGTACGTGAGTGCCTTAAAACTGTAAAGCATATTCCATTCTTCACTCTGTCCACCAGCTGACACTTTATGTTCTGGGCCATGTCGGAGATGCGCCGGGCAACAGTCCCGTTAGACAGCGGCACTGATTCTAGCTCACAGGCCAGTTTATCCCCATGCATAGCTATAGCAGCGGGTTTAATGAGGGTTTCCCCAATCGTGTGTGGCTTTTTTTGCCTGTGCAATTAAATATGCCACCTCATTTGATGCCTTGTTGAGCTTTGGCGGGGATTGTTGTTTTAGTTAGGACTTTCTTTTGGCCTTGTAACTCTCGCTCCTTTCACCGGAAAAAATCTACTGGTTTAACGGCAAGAGAGGGGTGCTTGGTTTTCAAGTGTCCTAGCATTTTTACAGTCTTTAGGCTTTTAAGTGCAAGCACCTCAGTGCACACAACACATTGGGGATGTTGTACTTCGTTGACGATGATGCATGTGAATCTATACTGGATAAATTCCTCTCGATACTTTTGACACTTAGAGTAAGGCTGATCCAACTGCTTATGGATGTCCTCTTTATGCACACGCCGGTCTCTTTCCGTACCTGAGGTCGATGGCCTTTCTGACGGTGGTGCTTCTCCGCTTTCATCTGCTGGCCCCTCTGCTGGCCTCCCTGCGTTTTCTTTGGTCGATATTAACCAACGTTTCATTTCAATAAAAATTATATCCTAAGCCTAAAGCGAAAAAAATTACCTACGTGCACATGTCGGAATGTTTAACATGGTGCTGTAAATTGATCTGCTGCAACTGACGCTATTGCGGTGTCGTTAATCTGTCGTAATCACCTCAGGGATCACGATCGAACAGAAAGAAAATCGAAAGGCTGATGGCTTTTTTTATTTGCATGTTTTTTTAATGTAACTAACTACTATTTTTTTTATCTTTTGTTAGTTATGGATAAAATGTTATTTCAACTTATTCTACCAACCCTAACTCTATTAATGCTCTAAATGAGAGTTAGTTGGCATGTAGTTGCAAAGTTCCTTAGTCAATAGACTAAGGGGACCATCAAAATAAAATGTAATGTAATATCAAAAACAAAAAAAATTGAATTTTTTTTAAATTTGAAAGTATTGCAACTGATCTTAAACTAGCTCACAGCAAAATTAACATTAACCTCACAGGAAACACTCAAAAACACTCAACAGGGTTTCCGCGGGTCCTTAAAGTCTTTAAAAGTCTTAAATTTAGTTATATAAAATTTAAGGCCATAAAAAGTCTTAAATTGTACAATAAAGTCTTAAATATGATTTCAGGAGGTCTTAAATTTGGGGACAGAAAGACCAGAATTGCATTATGGCTTAATGTGACGATGAAACTTCAAAAGGCTATGGGTGCGTCTCAACCAGCTCCCTAGCTCCTGAATCAGTATATCGTGTACACTAATTCAGTCACTGGCAAGTTCCCTGGCTCACTGCACATTGGGACAATGATTACTTAATTTCCGGTTACATGACTACGTACAACGTCAACGGACAACATTGTAGAACGTCATTGCTGGAATTAATCAACAACAGGCAGGACCGGTTTCTTTTTTATATTATTTTTATTCTCTTTAAACACATCGTTCTGTTACATGTTCATTCAACATGTCAAGCGAATATTAATTATAAATGTTAACTAAATGTGTTCATTACCTGTTCATTATGTGTGTTTATGCTGAAATATACTAATAAAATGGTTTGTCTTTTCAAATCTTCTGTCGCGTGTCATTATATTTATCGAGTTGGCTTGTGTAGTTTGTTTCGTGATTCAGAAATGTGACATAATTTCCGGTAAGGGAGCATAGTGAGCACCAATGCTCCCTAGTTTTTGCGGCGCATTGTGGGATTTTTCAGGGAGCGAATGTTCCAGTGCACTGAAAGGATTTTGCGATTGAGATAGCCCTTAAAATGGCCGATTCCCTGATCAGTGCCCTGACTACTGAACTAGGGAGCTGATTGAGACGCACCCTATGAATTTCATTAAATAAACACGTTATTTAATGTCCGGTGCTGCGCTGATTTGTGTACTGCCATTACCGTTATTTTCGCCTCACACACTCAAGTTTATGCCAGCTCTTACATTAAAAATAAGATGGAAAGATGAATAGTTTCCATGGATCTAGTCTTTGCATCTGTTTGTTTGATGTTTGAATCAGGTCTCCTCTGTTGGAATAGAATTGGCTAGATGGCACTGTCACAAAAAAATAGGGTCCTAGTAGAAATGCGGTCCTAGAACTGCGGTGCTAAAACTGCAGCCTCCGGTATTGCAGGAACACAGTATTGGGGTTGTTTTTGTTCAGACCAATGTGAAAATCAACCCATGTTTTTACCC